TTTCCGCTTCTTCCACCTCACTCTCGTCACAAATTCCAACCAAAAGCTGTGTCTTGCGTCTTCTTAGGTTATTCTGAAAGTCACAAAGGGTACAAATGCCTAGACCGTAACTCCAACAAGATCATTGTATCTAGACATGTTTGATTCAATGAAAATTCTTTTCCTTTTACTTCTGTCTCTCGCCTACCTCAGCAATTCCCCACCAATCTCTCTCCCTACACTCTTACTCCGACATCTGTGTACTCTTCATCTCACTCTATTAGTCCCACTTCTCACTCTGATTTGGCTACTCAACTCTCTACTCCTGTTCAAGCTCAGCAGCCTCAATTGCCTCAAACCACCTCTACTGATCAAACCATAGCCTCTTTACCCACTGAACCCGCTGTCCTTCCCCAACATCACATGATCACTCGCATGAAAATTGGCTCTTTTAAACCACATACCCATCTCAACCTTCTTCATGAACCAACGCTTGCATCATTTTCTGATCCTACATCCTACACCGACGCTGTCAAATCTATTAAATGGAGACAGGCCATGACAGCTGAATTTCCGGCTCTACAAAAACAAGGAACTTGGCATCTTGTTAAACCTCCACCTGATACCTCCATCATTGGGTATAAATGGACGTATCGTACCAAACGACACTCAAACGGCTCGGTTGCCAAGTACAAAGCATGACTTGTAGCCTTGGGAAATCATCAAGAGTACGGTCTGGATTAAACTGAAACTTTCAGCCTAGTTGCAAAACTACCTACCATCCGTATACTGCTCGTCGTCGCTCTCAACAAGGGATGGCATGTTCAATAATTGGATGTAGCGAATGCCTTTTTACACAATGAGCCCTTCGAAGTAGTCTACATGAAACAACCGAATGGATTCGAGGTTCCATGCATCCCGACTATGTCTGTCGCCTTAACAAGGCACTTTATGGGCTCAAACAAGCTCCCCGTCAGTGGTACAACACGTTCACATCATACTTGCTGTCGATTGGGTTCTCGCATAGCAGCTCCGATCCCTCTCTTCTCATTTTCAGACAATCCAATATTCATATTTTCTTACTAATATATGTGGATGATATACTCCTTACAGGTAACGATCAGGATTCTATCAAACATTTCCCAGCTCAATAGCAAGTTTTCCATGAAAAACTTGGGCGAAGCAAATGACTTTCTCGGGATTCACATCTCCAAATCATTCAACAATTACTTTCTGTCACAACCGCAATATACCTACTCCTTACTGCAGCAAGCTAAACTCACCCATTGCAAACCATTATCTAATCCCTCTTACACTAAATTTCCATATGTGTTCAATGCAGATCCAATTCTCTCGGACCCGGTTCTCTACAGGAAACTAACGGGTTCTCTTTAGTATTTGACGCTCACTCGTCCGGACATAGCATATAGCGTCAATCTCCTCTCTCAACACATGCACAATCCTCTCCCTCAACATATCTATCTTTTCAAGCGTCTTTTACGCTATATAAAAGGTACTATCCATTATGGTATTCCAATAACCAATACTAATCTTGTTCTAAAATCCTTTTCATATGCGGATTGGGCTGGCGACCCGATCTCTAAACGATCTACCTCAGGCTATTGTTCCTTTCTCGGTGATAACAACATCTCCTGGATGGTTAAGAAACAACATACTATCTCCAGATCTTCCAATGAATCAAAATACCGCGCTCTCGCCTCCCTTACATCAGACATCATTTACCTTAGGCACATTCTACTAGACTTTGGCATACCTCAAGACACTCATACAGATATTTATTGTGACAATACTTCGGCCATCGTACTCGCCAATAATCCTGTCTTTCACGCCAGAACAAAGCATATCGAGATTGACCAGAGATTTGTCCGGGATCACATGCACAACAATGACATCCGGCTATGGCCAATTAGTACGATCAATCAAATCGTCGATATATTCACAAAACCTCTTTCTACACCTCGATTTCATCAACTCGGGACCAAACTGACAGTCTCTCTAGACCCATCAGTTTGCAGGGACATCTTGGAACCAATAAATTGTTAACATATGTTATCATTAGCTTTACCGGTGTAGTATTATAATCTCATGTCGCGGTTTAGTAGACCACTCTATGTATCTATATATATATATATATATTCATGTTATATGCATATGCAAGTATAAGTAATAAAAGACATCCAAGTATTTCTAATATTTTTATATATCTAATATTGCAAGCCAAAATTATAATAATCAATCTCAATCATATCAGTCATGTTTTTAAGAATCGGTTATATCACAAGTCATTTTGATTAGGTAGCTTTCATATCAGAAGTCATCACTTACTGTCCATCGGTGTATCATATCATATCAATCTGTCTCCTTATGCCTCACTTTTTATATCATTTAGGATTACACTACAATCTTTATTTTAAAGAAAAGTCTGTTGGCACACTCTCTTGTACAGAATAACATATCTCCAGTCAATTTGAATCAGTCAATAATTTTTGGCTAGTTTTTCTTACATAAATATATTTCATAACATATATAAAATAATAAACAAGTGATAGTAATAGTATGCTTAATATTCAACTCATTGTGTTAGTCTAGTACATATAAAAAGCATATAAATACGACTAGTGAGATTTATAAAAAAATATAAGAAAGTGTGCATGTGCATGCATGCTTCTATCATGTGTGTGCTTTTTTTCTTTATACATTTGTTGTGTTTTGACTAAAAAAAGTTGCTCTATTAGTTAAGTTGTAATTGACATATCTAAGTATGATTGCCTAGTTGATTTTGCTTGATTAATTTACATTCTTCAGCTTCAACCTAGCTTAATGGAGTTTAGCACCTTCTTTCATATTATGCTTCATAACAAATATGACCACAACAGATGAATTATTACAAGCATTCCTATTATAAACTGATATTATAAGATTTTAACAATTATTTCTTCAATTTCATATTCATCTAAATTTCTCAAATTAGAAAATTTCCCCCAAAACTAAAAAATAATCGACAAAAATTCAATATTTATTTATGCTAATATGTGAAGAAAGATTAAAACTATAATATACTAAAATTTACACATAAAAAGTTTGCTAAAAATAAAAATATAGTATTTTTTTTTAAAGTTTTAATCAAATTAAAATTCATAAAACACAAAATAAATCAAAGATAGGATAATGATATCCTACCTTAAGATAACATATTTTTCTAACTGGATCGACTGACAAAAATCACTCTACGACCTACAAAACTTTAAGTTTTCTCTTCTGCCTCCTATCTATTTTCTTCTATTTCCCTCTCTTCTGTCTCTAGCTTGAGGAATGAAGAAAACAAAAAATAAAATGAATTTTATGGTTTTCTGTAATGGATAAAAATATTTTATTACAAAATATCTTTAGGACATAAATATAATTATATCAATTGTTAAGCTTTTCAGCATAAAATTCATATAAATTCTTTTATCTATTCAAATCTTGAGCTCTAAAAATTATAAAAAAATATTCATAAATTAAGTAAGCATGCTTAGAAAACTCTGTTGAAATCAATTTACAAAAAAAGATACCCAATGATCCCAAAAAACTTATTTGTTCATATATGTGTCAATTTTCTACACTAACCATAAAATTAGGGGAAAATTTCTATAATTAAAATATAATAATATCTATATTATGACAAAGACCATTTACAAATTACACTTGTAAAAACTCTTAAAATATTATTTGATTATTATAAGTCAAAATACGTCTTATAGAAATTTAAGGATTATTACACCATACTCTAACCAACAAAGCAAACACAATTATTTTTCATCAAATATGAAATATATCATTTATTTTTTTTACAATGTATCGCAACTTATCTTGTTCTTGTGGTTGGGAGTTTTAGCTCACCCCAGAATGTCATGGGTTCGTAGTATAGCGAATCGATGTGTCATACCCTCACTAATAAATCAACTACACAGTTTAGGGTTATTGGCCAGCAAATATGAATGTGTGGATGAGTTTATAGCTAACTTCGACTGCTATCATACCTAGATCTAGACTTCGTTTGAGACAGGTTTCTTACTACTTTTTAAAGTAGCTTTTTAGTATAAATACTTTTTTTTTTTTTTGTACTAGAAAGCTATTTTAAAGAAGACTAAAAAAATTGTCCCAAATGAAACCTTAAAATGAAAAAAAAAAATTGTTGCTTTCCTATAATAGTTTCTCAATGAACCGTACGGGCAACAATGGCCAAACCAAATGAGCACTTAGCAATCAAGCAGTTCAGTGGCGCAATTGATGGGCTATATGCAACCTCTAATGTTTTCATTCACACAATGCTCTCTTGAGCATTTCATCAAACAAGTTGTTGCCAATAACAAGAATACAGGAATCTATGAAGTATGCTTTTATCATTGTTCTTTTTCCTGTGATAAGAAATATATATATTTTTTTCTGCTATCGCAATCAATGAGGTTTCATTTGGGGCGGCTTTCTTAATGCTTTTGAAAGCAACTTTCTAACAACAACAACAACATCAAGCCTTTGTCCACTACTTGGGGTCGGCTACATGAATCCTCTTTCACCATTGTGTCACGTTAGAAGTCAAATTCTTATTTAAATCTAATAAAGAAAGATCATTTCTAATATTTTATAACAAAGTATTTTTAGGTCTACATCTACCTTTCTTAACATATGTCAAATCTAATACCTCAACTTTCCTAATCGGGTCATCGGAAGGCCTCCGTTTAATGTGACAAAACCATCTAAGGCGACTCTCTCTAATCTTATCTTCCACTGGAGCTACTCCAACCTTTTCACGTATATACTCATTTCGTATCCTATCTCTAAGGGCAAAGCCACTCATCCACCTAAGCATCCTCATCTCTGCAACACTTAACTTAGTATTATGCTTCTCTTTTAATTGCCAATATTCGGCACCATAAAGCATTGCAGGTCTCACCATCATCTTATAGAATTTTCCCTTAAGTTTGAAGGGACTTTTCTATCGCACAACAAAGCCGATGCATTCCTCAACTTCAATCATCTAACTTGAATTATGCTGATAATATCCCCATCTATTTCTAATAAAGGTAATGCATAGGAGTGTGTGAATTATAGAGGAACTAAAGCAACTTTTTAGTACAAGAAATTTTTATACTAAAAAACTGTTTTAGAAAACAGTAAAAAAGCCGTCCCAAACGAAGCCCGAGACAAGAATCCTTTTCACACAACAAGAGATTAACATTGTAATTGCTATTTCAAAACTCAAATTCCAACAACAATGTAGAACCTGTGACAACAGACGATTAATGGACATCACAATGAAGTTTCCAGTCCATAATGAACAAGAAGATGGCAGCTTTCTCACAAGTTCTCTCCTGTCCTTAATTCTTTATTCTAAAAACAGAACAAGTGGAATGATCCACTGATGAAACTCAACAACATGGAAAATGGATTTAAGCGTTGACATTGATGAAAGTGAGGTAATACCAAGCTGCAAATGCCACTACAAGAATAAGCAAGGGAAGCAGAATGTCCATGAAATTGCTGGAAGAAGCTTCAGGCTTCCTTTGCTGAACGTTCTTGGCAGGAAGAGAGTCTCCTGTGGCTGTCTGGTTTGGCTTTGGGCCCTCAACAGTGCCGATTAAGAACTCATCCATCATGCTGGTCGCAGTGGAACTATGGCCAACGTCCTCAAATGAGTCGGTGGCATCACCATTAGCTTTCAGAAGGAAGAAATAAAATGTTAAGAAGAATATATTTTAGGAAAAATTAGTAAGAATTGGAGAAAAACTATGGAAGGATATCTTGATACAATTAGGATGAGCATGAAAATTATTGAATTTATATTGATATTAGTGCAACATGAAATCTTCATAAGCGGTACTAATTTCAAAACAAATTCAATAATTTTTAGGAACACTATGTGGATCGGGTTGATTTCGGACTTTTGAGTCAATTTGAACCTGAACCGATTTAACAAGTTAGAAAATACAACCCGAATCTGACTTGTATGGCAAACTGGTTGATCATAACCCTAAAATTTTCAGCTCAGGTCAAATATTGACACCCCATATATGTGCTAAATATTCTGATATCTTCACTTTTTTTTTGTTATAGAATTCGCAGATCTATTGAATTGGATCTTTGCATAAGAGATGCTATCATGTGGTCAAGCAACTAGCTTTTAACTTTTTAGAGATCTAAAGCTTGAAATAGTAATGGAATTGAGAGCACAGGGAAACGAAGATGGAGGGAAGGAATTCACCTGAGGCTTGCAGAAGAACATCTTCTCCTCCTGGGTGATCCTCCAAGAAGGAAGTGACATTAAAAACCTGAATCATGAATAAAAATCCCAACTTTTATGCAAAAGCTCCAGATTTTTTTTAGAAAAAGTAGGGGGATGGAAGTTGAGAAAATATAATGGAAAATTTCTGAAAACGTAGAGAAAAAAAAAAGAGATTGGAAGATGAAGAAGGATAAAGATTAAACCTTGCCGTGGATGATCAGCCAGCAATCATCTTTGGAAGTGTGGTTCGAGATTTCAGAGAATGAGTACTTCTTTGTGGAATTCATCTTCTTTCTTTCTGTTGCAGTAGAAGGGAAGAAGGAAGGAGAAGAAGAAGTGAAAAGAGGAGAAGAAAGCGAAAACCCTTGAATTTTTTAAGGCTACAGAGAAGAGAGGATTGACGTAATTATACGATCACAGAAGAGAGGCGCAGGAAAGTCAGAGGCTCTCAAAACAACATTTTAGGGCCTTTTTTACTGGAGGGTATTCTGTGTGGAGTCAAGGTACAAGTTGTATTTAAAGTTAAGTGTTTACATAATATGTATATATTTGATATATCATCAAAAAAGTTATCATGCTCAGGCACAAATCTCGAGGCAGAATCAAGTTGTAAATTTCAAAAATTAATTCAGAGACTCTCTCAACTCCAATTTCAGTGAAAATATAGTCGAACTGAACCTCTCAGAAATACAAACCTAACGACACCAAATTCAACTCAATCCGAGCTCAAATTGGTCCAAATCAAGGACCCGAAGCACTGTTGGAAGGTTCAAACCATAATATGGATTACCAAACGGTTTCCAAACGTGACATGCTTATAGTCGAATCAAGCGGCTCGACGAGACAAATCCAACGAGCTTAAGATCACGGAATTCCAACATCATCAAGGCCTTCAAGTGCCTAATAAACGGTCTATGATCAAAGGATTCAACATCGGCCGTCCATTCAAACAAGGAGGCCCAAATAAGAAGAAAAGAGAATGAAGCAAGGAATAGAAGGAAGAGACTCATACTTGACCAATATCGGAGTTTCACGAGGTAGTCTACCGACGCCAGAGTTATGCCCGAATGCCATCTAACGCCAGATTTTTGCCCGGCTGCCAATTGACATCGGACTTCTTCGCGACGCCAGGCCTCCGCTCGTCGCCAGATTTTTATCTGACGCCTAACTTCTGTCCATCAACAGACTTCTACCCAACACCAGACTTGCACCCGTCACTGGATTCTTATAAGACATCAGACTTCCGCCCGTCTTCGTATTCCTACAAATGTTGGACTTCTGCCCATCGTCGGATTCCTGCATGACGTCGAAATTTTGTCTGCCATCGGAATTCCATTGGACTTCTATTCGATGCCAGACTTCTGTCGGTTGCCGGACATTCGTCGGACTTCAATCCGACGTTGGACTTCTGTCCAATGCTGGACTTCTACCCGACGCTATCCTTCCGTCCTCTATTGTTAGACAACGGTCTTTATGACCTCTGTCCCTTGCCAATAATGATCCTTTCGACTTACGTTGCCCACCGACTATAGTTTTTTCGACCTCCATCGCTCACTAACTATGACCTTTCCGACCAAGCAAATACGTCAACAGTGACTCTTTGTATTCCAACCATGTAATGTACTTCATATGATGTACATCAAGCCAAGGCCTTCCCTCTAAAGAAGGGCTTCAATTGTAATCGACTGCATATAATAGTGCATTCATTTAAACTGGGCTAGGCCCCGTGATTTTTCCCCATTTTCAGGGGTTTTCCACATAAAAATTTTGGTGTCTCCTATGAATGACGCATCATCTCTCTTTATCTGTGTGCGTGCTGGATCTTCGTACAAAGCTAAGATGTTAACTTTATATTTAACTACAGCTGCGAATACTCCATGACTCGAACCTGAATAAAAAATTTCGTGTTAGACTTGACCCGATTTCAAAACGGGTTGGGTTCTTGAATTCGACCCGTTTGAAAAAATGGGTCGGGTTCGATGTTGACCCGGAAACCTCATGGGTCGACCCGAAAACCCGTTTGAAATGAGCTGACTGCGCTGCCCGAGCTCGCCTGCGTCTTGTTTGAGGTGCCCGGGCATGAGGGTGCCCGCGCCCTGGCCCGAGGTTACCCGCATCACGTTGCGAGCTCCGCTGTCTGTCGTCTAGCCGTCTGTCGTACCACTGTCGCCGTCCAACTGTCAATTATGTCGGGTCAGGTCAACCTGGTAACACGATTGATCGGGTTAGGGTATACCCATATGAACCCAAATCCGACCCAAATCTAAACCAAAATCCAATTTTGACACCTACTCGCACTCCACACAAAATACTTTCTCTTTTTGACAACATGATTTGCGCTGATTTAATGAGGATTTTTTATAAATCCAGCTTAAATGCCAAAGAAGTCCGTTGGGGGTGGAAGTCGCGCATGGGGAAATCTTATCCTTCCTCCAGCTCGGCGAAAAGAGTAAATTGTCGAGCCCTCTCCAAACGTTTATCGCTCCGAAGCGAAGGTCCACTCTTCTTCCATCTTTCGACGCCGCTCTACACTTCCGTTAGTTTAGCTCTGTAAAGAATTCGAATTCCGACTGTGTTCAAGCTCAAATGGAAAACTACCTCAATACCTTCTTGCCCACGAAATCCTTCCCAATTTTCAGTTCCCCGCCTGCAAAATGTGTTTTTGAGGTTTGTAATTCTAAATCTAAGGCCTTCTTTAGTAGAAGAACTAGGGTTTATACTTGCAAAATGGAAAACAGTTCTATGTATTTGAGGGAGGTTGAGGAAAAAAAACAGCCTTCTCCCAGTTGGGAATTAGAGTTCTTGGGAAAGGCCTCTTCAGCGAGTTCTCAGCAAACCCATCAGAAGCAGCACGAGAAATCCAGGCTGCTTAAGGACACTGAAAGCATGGATTGGTGTGTTAGGGCTAGGAGGGTTGCGTTGAGGACAATTGAAGCGAGGGGCTTGACGTCATCCATGGAGAAAATGGTAACGTCGAGGAGTAAGAAGAAGAAGAACAAGAAGAAGGTTAAGGGGATCAAGGAGAAAGTGAACAAGAAGAAATTTTTGGAAGATTTAAATGATTCTTTGGAAGGCATGGATTCGGAGGATGAAATAGAGGAAGATAACAGCGACCTTCTTACTAGAGTGAGCATGTTTGCTGATGGGATGTTTGAAGAAAGGAAAGAGAAAGCCAAGGAGGCTTTTATTGAGAAATTGTCGAAGTTTTCAGGACCTTCTGATAGAAAGAAAGAGATTTGTCTCAACAAAGACATTGTTGATGCTCAAACTGCAGAGGAAGTTCTTGAGGTAGCAGCAGAAGCTATATCAGCTGTGGCAAAAGGATTGCATCCTTCTCCTCTAACTCCTATCAATATTGCAACTGCTATTCACCGCATAGCCAAGAACATGGAAAAGGTCTCCATGATGAGAACTCGCAGGCTGGCATTTGCCCGCCAAAGAGAGATGTGTATGCTTGTAGGTATTGCAATGGTTGCATTGCCTGAGTGTTCTGCTCAGGGGATATCAAACATTGCGTGGGCATTATCGAAGATTGGCGGGGAGCTACTCTATGTTTCAGAGATGGATAGAATTGCTGAGGTGGGAGCTCTTAAGATTGGGGACTTCAATGCACAAAATTTGGCAAATGTAGCTGGTGCTTTTGCATCAATGCAGCACTCGGCTCCTGAACTCTTCTTGAGATTAGCTGCTAGAGCAGCTGAAGTAGTTTGCACTTTCAAGGAACAAGAGCTTGCTCAATTATTATGGGCATTTGCATCTTTGAATGAGTGTGCTGACCCTTTGTTGGATTCGCTAGATGAAGTTATCAAGGAGTCAGTCAATCTTGTGGTATTCGAAGAAGCAAGGTTAAATTTGCGATATAATATGGACGATAAGACTGATGAGGTTGCTGAGAATACCAACAAAAATGTTGGAGAAGAGAATTTAAGTACCTTTGAGCTTCACTTCAGCAGAGATCAGCTTGGGAACATAGCTTGGTCATATGCTGTTCTTGGAAGGATGAATAGTTTATTCTTCTCTCATGTGTGGACAACTCTGAGCCGACATGAGGAGCAGAGGCTTTCAGAACAATACAGGGAAGATATCATCTTTGCATCACAAGTTCATCTAGTAAATCAGTTATTGAAGCTCGAGTACCCTGAAATTGGTTTATCATTGAAAAAGGATATTGAAGAGAAAATATCACAAGCAGGAAAGACTAAGCGTTTCAATCAGAAAACAACTTCTTCATTCCAAAAAGAGGTAGCAAGGCTTCTTGTCAGCACTGGACTTGACTGGGTCAGAGAATATCCTGTTGATGGTTACACTTTGGATGCTGTATTGGTTGATAAGAAGCTTGCTTTTGAGATTGATGGTCCATCACATTTCTCAAGGAATTTAGGCAAGTTTTGATCACTGGTTCTAAGGGACTTGGGCTTCATTTGGGATGGTTTTTGGCCATTATTTTTTCACTACTTTTAATAAATTTTTGTGCTAGAAAGTTATTGTAGAAAGCAGTTAAAAAATTGTCTCAAACGAAGCCTTAACATTTTTTTTATCTTAGCAGTTTTTTTCTTAAGTTAAAGGAATTATTTGTTTGACTAATTTATCATTCATTTGATTATGACTCAAATTGGCATTTGTGCAGGGGTTCCTTTAGGTCACACAGTACTCAAACAACGATATATATCGTCTGCCGGTTGGAAACTAGTCTCTTTGTCATATTTAGAGGTAAGTCAACAACTGACCGAATGTTTGTTATTGCTTAACTTAAATGAAAGTGATTACTTAAAAAAACATTCTTTATTTTTATTGTTGCTGAATTCTTTTTGTCCGGATATCTCTCAACTGGATGAATATTGGGATGATCTTTAAAAAAACTCCAAAATCCCATTCTCCTATAAAATGAATATAAATTTTCTGCTTTCCCATGTGGAGATGAATGTGTGGATCAAGAAGTCAATTTAATGTGCTTGTTGAAAGATAAGGGCATTTTGACTTTGAATTTCTTTGGGAATTCTACCAATTCAAAATCCTCACAATTAAACATACAAAAGCTAATGAATTTAATAACTACATCAACAAAGTGTACAAATATTTGAAACAAGATTTGATACACTAATACAAATGAGTGTAGAAGTGATAATTACAGTGGCAAATCTAAACGATTTTATACTAAAGTACATTAGAAAACATGCAATCATAATCAATTAAATCAATCATACAAATGTGCACCACACAAATGAACTAAGGCATAGTTTAAATGATTAAACTAGTTGGGTAATCTATAACTATTAAGCTTAATAAAAATGAAGCACTCAACTACACAAGTTATTATATTAAAACCACAAACATCAAAGCTATACAAGTGTTTATGCAACCATTGGTGATGCAAATAGATTTATGGTATATATGAGAGCAATTAACTTTAAAACACTAGTAATATCTACTTTATAGAAGATAAGAATAGCAATTAATTGAAAAATCATCACATTAACATTCAAGCATTTAAGAGAAATATGAAAACATGCAAGGAATTTAAATCTACAACTATAGAGAAAATTTTGACATGATAAATTTTTATGTGGACTAATAATCACCAATGTCTAATGACTACCTAGATTAGGATTCCATCATTGAACTTGCAAGTCCTGCTTCTTCATTTCATTTATTAGATGGAGAAATATTTACATTATCTTGCTTACACCAACTTAGCTTTTCCGCATAAAGCTCAAACAAGTTCCACTTGGGTGGCTGGGATTTTTATTATTTGTTATTTAATAATAATTATTATTATCAAAATATTGATTTTTTTGGTAAACTCTGGTCGCTTGTGCTCATCTAAATTGCATCATCACTTCATGCGCGAGTGAAGTTTTTAATTTCCTCATTCATGTGGCATCCCATGCAATATTGGTGTCTATTTAAGCTATTTTTGTTGTCCTAAATGCATCCACGCAGTCTATTTTGCGAATGGGTGTTATTCAAACAAATTAGATTTTTAGTCTGCATGTTTCAGACAACATTTGCTTAAAATTTCGTCTTAGTCTTAGTCACTTGCTTTTTACCGTATTTGGTTGGATTAATCTCAAAGCAGTTGTCGAGGTCAACATGTTTTTTCTCAAATTATGCTGGGTTATGGCCTCCCATTGATTGTGGCAAAATTTAAAATTGGACATGTCATATTAAAAGTAATAGCTTAGCCGCCAAGCTATTAGGAGCTTGATTATAAGCCAGAAGATTTTACAGACTTTGATTTTTATGAAAATCATATTTTTAACTCTTGTAAATTTTATCAATATGCAATTAAATAGCTGTATGTGAGGTCATTAATTTCTAAGTTGAGTGGGATAGAAAGAACATTATGAAGTTAGATGTATGAAAGAATTAAGATGAGTAAGTTAAAAGATTAATTATATTAAAAAAATATTATTGATATCTATTAAAGATAAGACGAATGAACATAGATTTAGGCATCGTTTGGGATGATTTTTTTGTTGCTTCTTAAAACATTTTTTTATTATAAAATTTTTAACTTTTGTATTAGAAAGCTGCTTAAGAAGCAGAAAGAAAGCCGTCCCAAACGAAGCTTAAGGTGGCAGCAAATTGAAAAATGAGGATTCATATTGTCAACCGTAAATAATTTGGATGTTTGAACTCTTGCTGAGGAAATTTTTGCTATTTTTTTTAAGAAATATTTTTATTGAGCACAATATTTAAGTTTGTGGTGCTAGCAGCAATTCTTGTTGTCTTATTTATATGCTATTTTCTTTGATAACTCTAAATTCTTTTTTTTTCTACAATTAACCAACCCTTCATCATTGACCATCCTTACATCATTGCTTCCTACAGTGGGAGGAACTCAAAGGCGGCTTTGAGCAGTTGGAGCATCTAAGAAAAATCCTTGGCATACATTTACACGGCAGTTCAGAAGACCAACCAGAAAATAAGGCTAAGTCATGATATCGCATTCTTCATCAATATTCAACATATGACTTTGTAAGTTCTAAACTATTCCACCATTCTTGAAAAAAAGGCAAGTTGTTCAGATGGAATGATTCCTTTGGAAAATTTTTGGATCAGAATAGTTTAAGATGACTATTAGACTTCGTTTGGTACGACTTTTTTTGTTGTTTTCTAAAATATTTTTTTTTAAAAAACTGTTTTAGAAAGCAACAAGAACGCTGTCCCAAATGAAACCTTAAAGTTATATATTTGCTTTGAGATGAGAATAATATATAAATAATCAAGAAAAAATTATATTGTATTAATCTCAAAGCAAAATCATTGCTTGAGAGTTATCCTGATCAAATTTAGGTAACAATACTTCTATGATGGATCAAAATATATTTGCAATCACATTTCATTAGGGCACGACTTATTTTAATTTGCTTCATTTTAATTTGTTTGGATTGAACTCGACAAATGATCGGTTGATCGGTCAACAAATTGTGTCATTGAGCTATTGATTCAGTATGTAATATGTATTTTTGGAAATGCTTGAAAGTATGATCATTAATATGTTTTTTGCTCAGTTTGTACATTTTATATGGTCATAATTTACTGATTTGGTATAATTGAATAACATATATGCCTTTAAGGTAAGCTAGAGTCATCTGCACATAGTGGTAACCTAATTTACATTTTGTTAGATGTTCAGCCCTTTTTTGAGAGGCAAGAAGTATTTGCTTTGGTAATGTCTGAAGCAGTTGCTCATCTTTTGGATTACATGCTAGCTGGCTGGTGGTAATTGGCCTATGAGAAGCAAATTACTCCCTTGTCTTTGTTCTTATTTCTCTAATAGTTCTTCTTGTCATTAGGCCTTTGGAAGGTTTTTTTTGTTAGTTCATGGCCTTCCATTAAGAAGGCATTATGATGCATCTAGGTAGATCATTTTACCATAGGCGACACAATTCGAGATGATTGACGTCTTGAAGATGGCTAGAATATAGAGGAAAATTTTCCTTTCGGGTAGTTTTTATGTTATAAACTTCACTACCACTTATGATTGTCGTCAAGCTCAAGTGATCAATCTATAATGGAGCAATCAATATTGAGAAGTTTGATGGTTAGTTTGAGCTTCAAAAGACTTGATTTCTTTTGTCGGAACGAAAGATATATGTACCCACTCTCATGTGAAAGGAAAGAGCCATGATCTGATAAGGATGACCTAGAGCTAAGTCGAGGCCATTTTGAAAACATTTCCATGAGTGGGAGGGATGTATTTGATGAAAGAGATTGAAAAAAGGATTCGGATTGTTCAGTATGTTATTGAACATCATAAGTAGGCGATTTCTCCGAATGTAGTCTGGAAAGAAATCTAAACTTTGGTGGAGTTCATCGAAGGTTTGCATGATCACCTTCGCCGAGAAGTATAGTTATTTTCAATTATCTAATTTGATGAAGCCAATTGTAATTCAATTTCCATGGAATCCAAAAATTGACCAAAGGACTAATGATAGGAAGAATTATCATATAAATAAGAAAAAGAGAAGAAAAAAAGGGAGGAAAAAGTAATTAGGGTTGGTAAATAATAACAGACTTTTCTCCACACATTGAGGTTAAAACATAAAAAAATTTGGCATATGAAGAAACAAGTGGAGATTGGTGGGACACAAAAAGTGAGAACTATGATGGCTTGCAGGAAGCCAAGTACAAGGAAAAAAGTTGTAGAAATTAAAAAAAAAAGTTGTAGAAATTTGCAAAATAATTTGATGTTCAAATGTGAGAAATGGTTACTCAATTTTGAATGTTAAAGACATTTTTCTCCTTTATTTTAGTAATTAATTAGAATTTTGAAAATGTTTTTAATTATAAATATGAGTCATTCATTATAAAGCTTTAAATTCCCAAATTTGAGATTTCTTATCTCTCTCTCTCTCTCTCACATCATCTCGACCAAGGTTATAAATGAGTCGAGTCGAGTTCGAGTCACCCCTAGCTTTAGCTTTGATTAATTACACGAGCTCGAGTTTGAGCTCGAGTTTTATTCTATGAGTTCAAATTGGCTCACAAGCCTGCTAATTTACTATGAAAGAGAGAAACTAATTATCATTATAAAACTATTAAATGCTTGAGAAATAAGAACAAAAAAAATATTAAATAAGTTAGTATAAGAAAGTGAGATATGCTTTTTTTAAAATTTTAAATAATTTTGTATAAAAAATTATAAATGCTAATATATTTTAAATGCATTTTATACTATTTTTTTTTAAAAGAGTTGTCTCGTGAGCAAATTAGTCCGGCCAAGGCTGGCTCAAACTTGGCTCCTTAGCTGATTGACAATCTCTTGTGGTGAAGCAAATTAGTACCACAAGTTGTCTCCATTTTGTGAGTACTTTTGTCTTTAGGCCAAGTAAAGAACCACCATAATCCATTACTTCATTTGGTGAAGCAAAAATCATGTTGTAATTGTATATTGTGTCAAGCTCTTGAGCTTGAGTATGAATGCTCAAGCCGAGTTCGAGCTTATTTCCTATGATTGACTTGATATCGAGCTGCTTATTTGGGTGACGAGTTGAGCTCGAGTTTTTTGACTCATCCCTAAAAAATTTGCCATTGATAGTGTAAATTTAATGCGGGTAACAAGTTCTGCCCAATAATGGAGCAAAAGAATCATGAGAGAGTAATCTAATTCATTATTTCATCCATGCCCTAAAACTCCTGATAAATTATATATATAAATACAAATGACATATTAACTATAATTAAACCTAAAAAAAAAACCTCAAAAATACATATTTAATTATTTAAATACTAATCTACATAACTCATTATAATTACTACCTATGGCATTTTTTGACAAACTGAAATCTAAAAAATAAATAAATTAAATAAATTAAAAAAAAAAATTACATGCCACAAAATTAGCATTTAAATTAGGAATGCAGCAAAGAAGAAATTAGCATTTAAATCAATTTCAGCTGTGAGGTTCACTAGCCGGTGGTGATTTTGCCTCATATATTTAGGCTTCATTTGAGATAACTTTCTTATTGATTTTTAAAATATTTTTTTTTTGTATGAAAAATTTTGATTTGAGAAATTTTTGTATCAAAATTTACTTTAGAAATAGTAAGAAAGTTGTCTCAAACGAAGTCTCTGTTTGCATTTGTGACAACTTTTGTATTGCGTTATAAAGCAGCTTTTTAGTACTATTATGGGCTGGAACAATCGTGGTGATATAGAGATAAATAGATTAACATCTTAGCTTTGAATGAAGATCTTGCACATAGACATAAGAGAGATGGGTCATGGGAGCAGTATTTACAAGAGATATCAGAATTTTTACTTGAAAAACTCTAAAAACGGAAAAAACTACGAGGTTTTGCCCGGTTGAATAGAATCCACTAGTATTTATAATTGATTACAAATAAGACTCTTTATATGGGGAAGGCCTTGGCACAATGTAACAAATAAACATCATAACGAGCACATTACATGGTTGAAGTTAGAAAAATCCAGTGATATTATTATCAAGATAGTGTTGGCATGCTCGTTTTGTTGGTAGGACCATAGTTGGCAGGTGACAGAGGTCTAAGGGATCGCAGTCGATGCGCAATGGAGGTTTGAGGGACCGTAGTCGAAATGCTGCGGAGGTCAAAGGACCATAGCAAGCATGCCATGAAGGTTGAAGGGATGGTAGTCGACGGGCAATAGAGGTTCAATGGACTGTAGACAACGAGCGACGGTGCAAATAAACTCTGATACCAATTGTAACGTCCCATAATCTAATTTGAAAGAATTCTTTCTTTTATATTTTATTATACAACAATCAGAGCTATCTAAGATCATCTATCAGTAATAAACAGTGGAAATAAATTTCATAATTCAAAATATAAATTTATAATTGTATTCATTATTCCAAAAGTCATATATAATACTTAAGAATCATACAACTATATAATGTCTATCCAAATCATGAGTATAAAAGAATAACTAAAAAAAAAAGTTGAACCTACGGAATTCTGATCAACTACACACTCCTCAATATTTTCACTAATATAAAATTATTTAAACCACATATGATGAGTTAAATAGCTCAACATGTCATAGTAAAATCCTATAACTTGATTCAAAGCACTGTAAGCAAACAATATGCATGTCATTAGTCAATTAATAATAGTAATAATAACATATCAAGAATTAGGTCAGAAATAACAAAACTTACGTGCATCGATAGTAAAATCTATAAAAGATAAAATAGTATGGTACAAAAGCCAGTATGGTACAAAAGCCAGTAAATCACTACAATAGAGAAATCAATAAAATGGTATTGGTGTAGAATCAAGCAGTCTTCGTATCAATACTATCAATAAGTAAAACAATCATATAAAGCGATAAAAACCAAATCAGAAAAATCCTATTAATCCTTTGAATCTTCCAAATATGCTTCAGTCCCTTGATTTGGACCCATTTGGGCTTGGATTCGACCAATTTTGGTGTCATTTGGTTCGTCTCATTGAGATGTCCAATTTGATTATAAGTTTGTTGAGATTTGAGTTTGGATGGTCCTAAATTTAATTTTGAAAGTTACCAACTAAGATGTGCCTCAAGGTTCATGCTGGATCAAAGCTTTTTTGGTGACGAAACTAGTACAAAATTCATATTCAAAAAATTTTTGTATAAAAAAGTTGCTTCATAAAGCAGTAAGAAAACTATCCCGAATGAAGCGTCAATGTGTTTGTCTCAAACAATTAGTTTTTATTCAATACAATGATGAGGGGCTTCAACTGTCAAACTAAGAACTCTTCCTCCCCGCATAGCTCTTCTCAATGTCTCAAGTCAAAGCGAATGTAGTGGATTTCAAATGATAAGTTTGCTTCTTCAAAAACTGTATACAATAATAAATACATCAATATGCATGAGGAAGGCATTAAGGTTTCACTTGTGACATCTTTCTTACTGCTTTTTAAAGCAGCTTTCTTGTATAAAAAATTTTGTATTAGAAAGTTGTTTTAAAAAACAGTAAGAAAGTTGTCATAAACGAAGTCTAAGCATGAATGAAAATGCAAATATTAGAAAGATAATGATAATGAAGAAAGAAGGAAGATTATAA